GGCAATAAACACCCAAGTCAGGAATTTCCGAGCTCTCACATGGGGCTAAAACCTCTGGCACGTTCCTTCCCCTCCTCTGTGAGGCACCGGAGGGTCCATAGGATCTAACGGTGTATTGACACCCCCAGGAAGAAAGAACAATATTGTCTCGTCCTTTTTAAAAAATGTGATGGAATTAATAAGCAGTAGTCCAAAACCCAGCCCATGAAACAAAAAAAACCAACCAACCAACCAAAAAAACCGCACACCCAAAATCCAAACCCCCAGAAAATCCAAGTAAGCAACCAGAAATCTAACTGTGATGAATGTGGTTATGTCGCCCAACTGAAAACTCCAGAGTTTGTAGGAGTTTCTCTGACCTTGGTCCAACATCACTGGCATTGGCCGTGTTCATACTCAACAGAAATTGTACAGCCTGGATAAACATGTGTTTAGATTTATGGGAATGTGCATTCAGCGTAGGTAAAATGTATTTTTAGGCATATGTAAAGTCAAATCATTTGTCAAGTTAAGTATTAATTTTATTTACCCAGCAGACAGTCATGTTTTTATTATATAAATATATATGTCTAGGCACTTAAAATGTGACTATTTGACACAAGCCTGTTTGACAACTAGCGTAGAGCCATTCAAACGTATCAAAGATATTCATGAGAATCCGGTAGCTCTGTAACCGTCAGTGTAGGTCTGACAGCGGATCAGTGGTAAATTTGCGTTGGTGGTTTATTGACCTAACGAACCGTAACCGGATCTTTAGCACTCTTGCAGTTATAATATGCCAGTTTGGCTGCTAGAAGAAGTCTTGCATGCTAGAATTGACGGCCAACCAGAATAACGAAGGTATTACAAGCAAACCATGCATTAAACAAGAAAGTTATTTTAATGATCACTCCCCAAATACCCAAAGGCACTAGTCAACACTGTGGACTAATGACCTACAAATTCATGTGATTAGTACACGTTTTTAGCATGACAATATTTTTTCAACAGCTTCAGATGGCACATTGAGTGAAATACTTCTTCCTTCATCTGCAACAGCTTTGTCCTGCATACCTTTCCGTTTGTTTAGGTTAACAGAAAAACGTACCAAACAAAAACTGAGCTGTAAGGATCATGCTGACCTGCCAGACTCTCTTTGCTCTCCTTTCTCCAGATATTTCTGCAAACCGTGTTGAATGCACACCTGTGTAACTCCGAATTTATGTTGCTGTAACTCCTCTAACATCCGTCAAATTACACAGCTAGAGAACTGCAGTGGCGCGGTGGTACCTCACATCCATTACTGCACGGATCTGCTGGCTCAGTGCAACGCAACCGACGATAGAACATCTCGACTGAGGACAGTTTTACATTTCTTTTATCCACTGCAAAAACCTTTGTGATGTGTCGAGTATAAAGCTCACAAATGACATTTTAAAGGAACTACCATAAAGTATACGCTTCAAATAGACCTTTTACAATAGAACACAAAACTCAAATGACATTTTTTAGGAAAGCACTTGAAACTTTAACACTTAGGTCCTGACAACATTAGATTACTTTAAGCTGTAAACCTTAAGAAGTTTTATGTGATTAAATAAAATCAGCATTACAATTTCCAGGTATTATAATTATTGAACAGATTGTAATGACAAGATATAATTATAATGTAAACATGAAGCTCAGGAGACTGGTACTGAGAAAACTCTGTCAATTCTTTGTGGATTTATATCTGCACATAGTAAAATCTGTAACAACTGGAGAAGAGCTTACAATATTTCGTCTTACGTATCGATATCAGTGTTTTGCAAGCAGCAGTCTATACAACATCATCCCCTTTTTAGTATTAGTTTACAGAATCACTACTACCTTGAAAAAAAAATCCCCAGGTCAAATACTGCTGCCAGCTGTCAATATAACATTTGGAAGGAAATACTTAAAACCACCAGATTTTGTTAATTGCCCGTGTATGTGTAGATATGTGAGATTTTATATATGTAACTATATATAAAATCATAAACCTCACTTAACCTTCAAAACTGAACTACCTCTAGGTAAGAAATACAAGACCTTTTTCAAGGAATTTAAAGGGTTTATTTATACCTGAGACATTTTTGCATATTGATGTCTTTGTACCTTTACCTGTAGGTACTCACGTAAGTCCTTTACTCTTTTCCGGGGTCTCACACAAAGCCCACTAGAGTTAGGTGGATTCTTCCCACTAACTCCATGGACTTTGGCTGAGTCCTTCCTTACCTAACCTGGATGTATAAACAGAGGCGTAACAGAATTAAATACATATATTTAAATAAACAGTTGCTGTACAAGTGGACAGGCTGGTTTATACAAATCCAGAGCTAGCTCACCATTCCTGATACTTTTCACAACGTCTGATTCAAAAAAAGGATTCTGGTCCTTTATACAGGGTGATACATGTTTCTACCTGTGGGTTAAAAACCAACTTTTTGAACTGTTTCTCCAGGTAACGGCTCATTGGCTACACATGGCATGTTGAAAATGCCCCTTCTTGGCTGGCCTGTTTCCTGGTTCTTGAGAAGATCAACCCATTCCTCCACCCAGCAAGCAAGGAAGCCAGGAGTGGAGGGGTAGTAAGTCGATGTAGCTACATTACATTAAGGTCACAGGTCAATGCAGACGGACTAAGATCTTCGAACAAATTTAGGGAGTTTAGGAGCCCAGTTCCTCCTGAAACTCAAGCCATTTGGATGCCTAACTCCCACAGATTCATCTGAAAGTCCCGGCTGCGCCCAGTCCAGCTTTCGGCTCCTCAGCCCTGCAGATCACACGAGCTGAGTGTTGAAGCACAGGCGTTAGCAGGGACATAACCTGCATAAGGCTCTTAGAGAATTTCACAGTGCTATTTAATTTGGCAAATACCAAACCACATTTAAAGGTTCCCTTTGTAATCTAAACAGCTCAATTAAAAGAAAAAAAAAAATAAAAATCCACCACGTTTCACTCCATTTTGCTTCTGACAGGGGGAATTCCCTAGAAGTGCTTACAGGCAAATATAGTGTTATCGTATTTGATAACACAGCAATTAGAATTGCCAATTTTAATTAATACAGTTTAGCCAATGGAAGGATACTAGTGGAAGTGAAATAAAGTGTGCTTTTAGACATGGAATTGGACATACTTGAAAAATCAGCAAAAATAATAGTGCTATATTCATGAAAGGCATCACAAAATGAGTCAGCTTCCAAGTAGATTAGTATACCCTCCTCATGTTGCAGAAACATTGTTTTTTGCACTATATTTTACAGAAAAGAGTTTACTTTAATGATGATGGTCAGCAAAGTTGTCTTTAAACAGCTCTTTGTTCTACTGTACAGGCATACAATGGGAAAAAGGAAAGCTACATTTCACTGGCAACAGGACTTCATAGACCTTAGAGTTTTTAGAAATGTTTGATTTAAAATAGTGGTATGTAGCATATCTCTGTGTAAAACAAACCAACCACTCCCAAGTAGCAGAAATTTCTAAGACCTGACACCTGTTGCAAATAGATAAAACGTAGTCAGTGTTTCTAAAGGTGACGCAGAGGATGCACAGTGGTGTACCAGTAACGAACTCGCAGTATGACACAGTGACGTGTTAAGCGTCAGATGTAAGAAACTCTACCGCTTGCATTTCCAGTTGGCTGTTCCAAGTTTACAACCGCACCCATTCCAAATCTCCTTTTCATTACTATTCCTTCTCGTACCATATTCAGCATCTAAACCGAGGGAGTTTCGGTGAGACCGCCTTCGATCCATCTGTCCCAAACCTGCTCATACTGAAGCAAAACGGTGCAGACCTCTCTGACCTTCAGTGCTACGAACACTTTGCGACCCATCGGTGGAGTACCGAGGGCGTATGTTTCCCTTCTTGTAATTCAGCAGCTCTCCAGCGTGATTGCCAACAGCGTTGCGACTTTCAAGGAGCAACTGGCACAGGGAGGCACTTATGTGACATGTTTAAAACTCATCTTTGGTAAACACTCACACACACAAAGACTTGTAACTAATGTTTTACTTCCTGATCGTAAGAGAAATCTTCATTTGCTACTAGTGTATGTGTGCGGGTATCTAAACATATACAGGACACTGCTAGTATAAAATATTTTTTTCAAACGCCACTGCCAAGGATTTGTTTTAATTCACCTAAAAGCAACGCAGTCCTGGGCTTTTTGGTTTTTTCCTGACTCCGTTTATTATGCATTAAAGCATCTCTGATCGATAACAAATTAGCAATAGAAAGCAAGCCCTATGTGCTCAATTTTCACCTTCTTTCTCATTCTATTACCTTGTTTTTCAAGACCAATTTATTCAGAATGGTTGTATCTCTTACAACTTTCATGATCTGTGAGGCAGATCCTGGGGTCCAACGCTGCATTACTTAAGCAGCCAAATCTCTCACTCGGATCAGTGGAAATTTGGGATACGCAAAAATGCCGAGTCTGCTCTTGGTAGGGATGTTTCCTGCTAACCATTACTGAACAGTGCTCTGGTGAGGAGAGGGACCTCACGTCTCTAATTGGACCTGAAGAGTGACCAGAGCCTGTAAAGCAGAGCTCAAACCACCAAGAGACAGCCCATCAATGCCTATTTTCAAAAGGTGCTGCAAATAAATGTTGCTGGAACTGCACGGGTATAACTGATGGATGATCTACTTTAATGTACCCAGAACACTATCGCTTCTAAAATCAGGCATTTCTACTGAGAGGTATTTTACTGGCTTAATTTTTCATTTACATTATTTAAATTTTGCTTAGGAATTTTTTAGACCCCAGAACTTAGTGCATTTCATTTTATAAAATTAGAATAATTTATATCCTTCTCTTTTCGTTGAAAAAAAAAGTCTAGCCCAAACACACATAGGGGTATAAATACTTCATGAATGATAGCCGTTTCACTTATTTTATGATCTGCTTAACAGTGATTTAGACATTGATCAACCAAATAACTTTGGCAACTTGCACAAAAATATGTCCTTAACTCAAAAGTGATGATAAAACTTGCTTTAATGAGGCCTTTATTACGGAGAGAACTGGAAAGAGAGAGGAGTGTAAGTGCTGAGGAGGTCATCGTGTTCCTAAACCATGCCGCTTTGCATTTGTATGTGAAATGGGTATGGCTGGTAGATGATAGGTGGTTGTCCGTGAGCAATGTAGTAATTGCTGAAGTTTCTGTCACTGATATATGGAGCAGGCTGATAATAGCATGTTACATTGGCTGCATTTGGGATGATATTTTGTTCTCCGAGTACTTTTAAAGCCAGAATTGTGATCATATTCAGAGTTTGTCTTCGTTCATGTCCCATGAGACAGACTGTGCTCTCATTTACAACTCCACGCAGAGTCATCAAGTAGTCATACTTGCTTTTCTCTTCCCCAATGAAGTGGTTGCGCAGATATGACTCAATTTTCCTTTGCTGCTCAGCAACATCTGGAAAATCAATGAAGAACCTGGAGCACATGTAACGTTCCAGAGATTTAATTTCAGCCTCATCTGCTGGCTTAAAGTCACGAACCAGGAGATTGCTGTACTTCAGGAGGCCACCTCCTCTGATTTCTTCCGGGCTCCTTGTGGAAATCAGTTTGTATTTTAAGTGGTCCATTGCTTCGTTGAAGTCTCCATACATACTCTCGGCGATGACAGTGGGGTGAGAGTCTTCTGTCAGTTTGCAGTCTGTTGCTCTGTAAACATTTAGTATGGAGTCCAGTATGATTTGGAAGGAGTCCACGCTAAACTCAAACTGCCGTCTGAGCGAGTTGACAAACTTTAATTCTACATTCTTGCCGCTGTTGTTTGACAGCGAGATGAGACTCCAGCGATCGTGGTCGGTGGAGACTTTGACCATCTTCTGCACGTAGGCATCTTTCATGGTCTGAGCAGTGATTTTTTCCTTATTAACACATTTTGGCAAGAAGTCCAATAGGCAATTAAGAACTGCTTCCTTAACAACCTGGAACTCGAGCTCACTTGGAAGTTCCACCCCAAAAATGATGTCCAGGTCCTTGTAACTGGTTCCGTTCTGCTTCACTAGGATGTGACTGGCTGTCGAACCGTTCAGGCGGATATCTCTAACGTTGATTTGCTTTTCAATGAGCTGTTCCTTTACCACGTGAATGATATCCTTCGGCTTTACATCCAGTGTTGGAAAATTTCCTCTCCCATGAATAGGTATGACCTCAGCTAAAACTTGATCCAGGATTTTAATCTGATCCCAGGTGAGACTGCTGAATCTGTGGTCTAAGTCCTCAGTCATTGTGATGTCGCTTGGCTAACTAGGGAGAAACAGAAATTAAGAGAAAAATGTTAGACCTTGCTCAAATACAAGAGAGCCCGACATTTCACTACGCTATAACAAACGTATATCTTCCTTCCTCGGTGCAGCGACAAAGCAGTTCATTTTAGAGAGACACATTCCCAGTTAACGGTCTGAGTCAACCACTGCACTTGTCACAGGCTTTTAATTGAATTTTAATGTACTTGGGTTTTAATCCTGCTGAGAAACCATTGTGTTATTGTATAATCCATGACTCAAAGTAAATGCAGTAAACCATATAGACTTCATTTAAAACTACTCAAAGGTTAATAACATGAGATACTTGGCGGTTATAATGAAACTCCAAATGAATTTCACTGTGAAGAGCTAAAACGAGCAAAAATGAGCAAAGTTGATTCTTTCCATCCTGCCTAGAAATCTCCCTCTATCTGCACTGACTCACATACTTAAAACTACTGAAAGACTGGGAAGTTTTTCTAAAAAGCAGAAACACGCCTTTTGTTTATCTAGCCATATGCCTTGGATGTACTTTAGCCTCTATGGATCATCTACACGCATGCATCCTTTAATGCCACTTGTTACAGTTTAAAAACTGGATATTCAATAATTGTCAAGCTGTTTCCACCACGTTTCTGAGGAAAAAGCTTCTCTTTCTAAGCCATTAACCGTGTTCCTACATTAATGTACCAATGCTGCAAGTCATGGTTTGCAGAACCGGTAAGAAAACCCCTTCCAGTCTGCACTGATACCCGAAAACCTCACAAGAAAGCCTGCAAAGAAGCGCCTGTAGAATACATGGGATAAAGCTCAGGCTCTGGAATTCCTCAGTTTAAAATTGTATCTTGTCTTCATATCATCATAGTTAGCAAGCAGATAGACTTTAGCATGGATAATTTGTTTACATTTTACAATGAGAAAGAAAAAGTTGCAAACCCCGCAACATCCGTTTTAAATTTTTTCTAATTGATCATATGCAAACTTTATTTTAATTAAATTTTTCTAATGGGGATTTGAATGCTTTATTTTTTAAATTTTATTTATGTACACTATGAATATAATTGAACGCAATCATAGAATTATATAATTAGGTGTGATTACAGTAAGTAATGAATTTAAGGAACTGCAGAAAAGAAGAACGTCATTGAGCATTAGGTGTCCAAGGTGTAATGACATTAATGTCGGTGTTACAGAACAGAAACAGTTCAGAGGGCTAAAAAACTTCCAGAATCCACAGGCATCATGTCATGCTGTGTCCCCGCTTGCCTGCTTACACTTCCTCCGTTCTTTTGTGGTAGTTAATGCTCAGTCAGTTAGTCAGAAAGATTTATTGCTGAATCCTATCATAGCATTTTTCAATACTCTTTCATAAATCGCATGATAACTCACAGGCAGATACTGTCATTTACTGATAACTTTCTGATTAACCCCAGTGCTTGGCTGCTGTGCCTCGGTGCGTTGAGTTTGAAGCTGTGTTTGCTGCTCTGAGCTACAGGTGAAGGAAGAGAACATTTATGGACATAGCAGGACCTTCCTTCATCGCTAAAGAGAGCAAAAATTCTTTAGTCAATACAGTTGTTTGGGGCATTTCTTTACTGTCCTGAGTCAGACGTGGACATCCGCAACCCATGGGAAGCTGCTGTTCAGACATCTTATAGATGGAGGTACAGATACTGAAAACAATTTTGATTACTGAAAGAAAATTCTTTTTTTCTGCACAAACATTATAATTTTGCTTTCTCCTTTAATGTTGCATGTTGTAGTTAAGGCTTGTTTTAAGAATACTTCTGTTGGATTTGTGCAAGCTTAGTTTGGAGAGAATTCAGGGAAACTGAAAATAATTTAAAAATAGTTGCAATAAAGTATTTGTTACATAGCAAGGGGGTTTAGATCATTGCTGTTGAAACACTACCTGAAGCACCTAAAAGAAAAATAAAACTAAACGTCACTGTGTTCCTTAACACTGCATGCAAGCAGAATAGGAATTATACCGTGACACTGAACTTCATAATCTATATTTTCCACAGAAAACCTGTGGAATCCCTCGCAGGCAGGCGGCTGTTTCTCGGAAGGCAGCAATCGGGACCGCTGCCCAGACAAAGCTGTGTCTCCCAGCTGGGCTGGTGCAAAGCTGGAGTTTGGAGGGACTGAAGAAAAGTGACTGGAGGTGCGAAACTCGGGTGGTGTTCAGGTGTGATCTGAAACGGCTCGGCGAGTCACCAGCCGGGTGAAAGAAGTGACTTTCGGGTTATCTGCCAGCACCGCAAACGTACTGCTGCAGCGTTGAGAAATGTTTCTGCAGGCAGATGGCTAGAACATCTTTTTTCAGCTAAAGCTCAAGAATAAAAATAAAGTAATATCATACTGAGTAATAACACTACCAAAAAGTCTACGCTGTTGTTTCTTAATCAGTAGTGACTACATATGTATGTTGTCATATATTTTCCTTCCCCTGCCTTCAGATTCCACATTCCGGAATATTTTAGTAATTTCAACTTTGTGAACCGACAAATGGCTTGGGAATATTACAGAGCTATTTTTCACATACTTCTACTATAGTTTCAGCTCCCAAGTCAGCTAATCAAGAGCATATGTAATTTCAAGCACCTTTCTGGCCTCATTACAAAGAATGGAACTAACCATATGTTTGAAGTTAAACGCATGCTTTAAAAGTGGCTAAACCGGGACCAAAGTTTAATTTGCCACTGAATTGATGGTGTGAAGGTCTTGGATTCAGTCCTATAGTTCTGGCACAACCATGTTGTTCCTGGCATTGTTTACGTAGTATATAACCCCATATACCTAACATGTAAAGATGCATATATTTGTATCCACACATTCCTGCAGGCATTTAGACGATAGGACATTTGAACTGAAAAGGAAAATTGCCATCCACAGCACTGCCCACTTTACATGTCTATGGCTTTACCATTAGCTATTTATTATTATGATTCCACGCTTATTCCTTTATTACCACAAACTATTCTTATGAAAAACTTCTGTCCATCCTTCATAGCCCTTATGACACCCCACTACATTTTTATCATCAAAAATAGCCGTTACAGAAAGCCACCGTGAATTTTGGAAGTAGCACACCACTGGGTGGAGCGAGAAGGCTGGGAGGAGAGGTCTTTGTGTACATTTTCCTGCTGCCGTGTTTGTCATCTGTGTTATTGATACGTCAGGTTACGGTAGACCACCTCTAACGAGCTACTAGCAAACTTGTAGTTGTCAGAATTGTTGTATAAGGAGTAGTTTTTGTTATGTGATTTGTCTGATATTGCAAAACTTTGAGAGAGCTTTTCAAGGTTAATGCTGTGATGTAAAAGAAAGGGCTTAGAGAAGGGAATGTTGAAATTCAATCCCCTTTTTTAGCAGAGGGACCCTCTTCAAACATTTTTTGAAAGTCAGAAGATGGAAGTATCCCTAAATAAGCTTAGGAAGCCTTCCTTTATTGCTACATGTTTTTAGTTATTTTAGATTTTATTGCAATATACTAAGATTTAAAAATTATGGGAAAAGGTAATGTCAGTAAATCTCTCTTTTGTGTTGAAGAGTCGTACCTCAAAATGTCATTTCTCTAAAGTGATTCCTGGAGAATCCGGTGATGCTTTGTGAGTTTGGAGCCTCAACGTTAATGTCTGAGAAATACCTTATGATAAATGCTAAGAATTCTGTGCTGAAATAATGCCTTCAACTTTGACAAGTAAGGAAAATGTCCTAGGAAAAACAGGAATTAAGTTGTCAAGAATATAATTAATTTACAGATAGACCTAAATAAACTTTTTTTGGTTATAATTTACTAATTTGCTTCCAGTTTGCAACCCAGTGCATAACCCTGCACTTTCCTAGAAGGACTTTCTCTTTTTCTTTTCCTTAATCTTGTCTGGCAACAAGAACAATTTCCGGGCAATTTTATAGTCATTAGGAACCTTATTTCTTAAAGCAGTGGCAAATTTATTTACCGAGGTGGTCAGGCTAACGTCAGGAGTTATTACTAATGCAAGTAAGCCTCAGTTACAATAAATCAGCAACAGCGCTGAGGCTACAATTAGTCAAAGCATTGTGTAAAACAAGAGAGATCAAGGGATGAAGGGAAGGCAACTCACCGCACGTGACCACAGCAGCCAGACGAAGCCCAACACAAGCAAGTGCTGGGGTTGGGTCAGTTTATGGGAAAAGAGGCTGGAAAATGGCTTCATTCTTTGGGAAGCGGTGCTGTTTGCAATGGAGGACGATCCCTGGAGGCAGCTGTATCTCGCTGCCCCTTTGCCAGCAGCAGCATTATGCCATTTATGGTAACCATATATGTGACACAGACTTTGAGAGCTCTTACTTGCCGGTACCCACAGTCCCAGCCTTCCCCAGGTCGGCCCTGCTGCACCCTGTCAAAGAATTCAGTTTCTGTAACTTCTTCCACATGAATACCTAAAAGCATTTCATGTGTTTCGCATTCAGCGCTCTCCTGTCTTAAAGTCCATACATGGACAAATGGAAGGCTGCATAAACACTAGCACCGTGGCAGTGAAAGAAGCAAATAGCTTTTGAATTGTGTATTGAAAAGAGGTTTTTTTTTCACTCACTTCATCAGTATTTGTAATTTATTGAGATTCTCTCCTAGTGATTTTTCTTAGTTTTTTGTTTATGGGATTTAAAATGTTACTATAAACTGCAATGGACCCTGAATCCTGCCTGATTTAAGATCTCTGCCAGATAAAGCGATGAGGAGAAGTAGTTTCCAGGGTGTTTTCGTTCACATATACTGGCTAAAGAAGCACAGAATAAGATGGATCAGACCTAGTCAAGTTTTGTGATATATTATCCTTACTATAAGGTTAGAAAAATATTTCCATGATTCAAGTTCCAACTTGTCCTTGAGTGGTCACCTTCAGATGATGAAGTGGTTGCAATGTGGAAAAATGTTTAGTTACTGTGGGATCATTCAACGTAGTTTTGCTAATTTTTATTATTTATTTTTATATTGAAATTAGGGGCTCTAATTTGCTTCAGCAGGGTTTGGACCAAACGGCTATGAGCTTGGTTTTACAATGATGCTAAAAGATTTAGTGAACCACCTCTTTGCACTCTGCCATATACCAGCTTCATCGAAAAAATAAGAGCAGATCTGGCTTTACATCTGAATGAAGAAAATCTGCCGTGCTAATGATAGCTTTCATGTTCCACACAACTTTCATAGAAACAGATACTTACAGTCTAGAGGACAGTCTCATCAAATTTAGCTCATATTTTACCGATAAACTGTTTAAGATTCTCCTTTTATATACTCTATAATGTTGCTTCAGTGCATTTTCAAAGGGTTTGCAATGTGCTGGCATTCTCAAGCAGAACACATCTGAAATAGTTCTTGTGCAGCTGTGTTAGCTCCATTCTCTTCCCTTTGCTTTTATCTGCTCCCCTATTTGTCTGTTTTACAATAATTATATGGAAGACTTTAATGCTCCAATTGTCTTTACTTTGTTTGCACTTGAAATCGGTTGCGAAGGGACCTTTTACAGATCAAGCAAAGTGTCTTGTCAGCTTCTGTAGTAGCCTTGCTTTTGGGGGTTACCCCAGAGATGCTCAAAGTAACTATTGCAATTCTCCCCTTAGATCTCTGTATGGGGTTTGCTGCATACAGATTATATGCATCACTAATGATTTCCATGATATCTTGCTAAAGCTTTATTTTAATTCAAAGATACAGTCCTCTATTAAGCTGGACATTTTAAAATATTTTGCATGCTGACTGACTTAAGGACTGCAGCTGGCATTAGCTCTGAAGGCAAGAATGTCAAATGTGGAAGGAGTCCCAGTCATAATATAAATGCATATGAGACAAGTAGAAGCAGTAAAGCATCTGGGGCATCCTAAATGGGGACATATTTAAACTGGTTTGACAGTGTTTTTCATGAGTTTTTCCTTCCATTAATGTTAATGGAAGCAGCGAAGATGCCGTTTATTTATTATGTTATCATGAGATAACGCATGAGTTGCCATAAGTTTTCAGTACAGTTACCATCTAGTTACCCTGAAATAACAAATAATAACTCGAGGCCATATGCTCTTCTCCGGTGAGATAAGGTTGCGTGGTGTGCAAAATACACTTAAGCAGAAAGCAGTTTGCTTGGACTATGCCACAGAATATCACCTTCAAGGGCAGAACAAGTAAGCAGAAAAGGAGGAGAGACTTTATCAACAAAAATATGTCCTACCTTTTCTCCAACCCAACCCAAAGAACAGGGAAAAGCAATGGAGTCATGTACCAGCCTGCACCGTCCCTTCTCCCAGATGAAGACAATTTGCAGAGCAGTACAACCCAAGGGGAGCCATACTCTCCTATAGCACAAAGCTGGGAAAAGGAACCGAGTAGCCTACACGTCTACTGGAACGTTACAGGACATTGGCTCGATGAGCTGGGAGTTCTCGGGAGGGACAAAATAACTAAGGAGTTTAATTTGGGCAACCAGTACGAATACCTAATCTACGTTACGTCATCTTGGAGATTTGGGTTTTTTTGGATGTCGAATTTTTCCATCATGACTCACGGTATGCTCATTCTTAGCTGCATGTGGATCCCCTCACAGGGCAACATTGTGAAAGCCAGATACATTATGCCTTTGTATCAGTTCCCGCAACACACAAGGTTCCTTCTTACACGGCCTCCAGGTTCAAATAAACCAAGCCCTTGCAAATAGTATGGTATGAGGCACAGTCAGTCTTCTCATTTGCTCTAAAACATTTTAATAACTTTTAAAAAAATAGGTGTGATATGCAATATTTGGTCTGTTTGGGGCTGTGGTCATCACTGAGAAGTTACTGCTTTAGATAAAGATTATTTGTACTACCGAATGTGTACGATGGACTAACTCCTGAATAACATTTCCAGAGAGAATGCAAAATCCCACAGACTTACCGTGGCAGGATGACTGGCAAGCATGTATTTCAGCGGGGTTAACAGGATGACTCACTGGATCCTTTGGTAAAAATATGAATTGTCATCTTGTCACTGACAAAACCACGAACCTCCCAGGGAAAGCTGCAGGGGAAAAAAGAACCCAACAAACAATAACATTCATTTTGAGATAAATGTTAACTACCAGTCACCTGCTGTACATAAAAAATCATGCATTACAACTTGGCAGTCCTGCAGTCATAACAATAGCCTTTTAAGTCAGAAATGATAAGGTAAAAGCAGTGGAAAGGCACAGAAGTGCTTATCAAGACGCTGGGTTTCAGGTCATACTTAATCCTCTGCAAGGATGTCAACAAGCTTGCTATTTTCTCCATGGGATTTTGAATAAGGATTTAATATTATTAGTAGACATGCAAATTAGCAGGGACATAGTGGAATCGTACAAAAAAAAAAATAGAACTAATAACAACTCAGCAAAATTAAATATTATGAATTGTGTAGTGGCTTCACATTCTTTCTAAAAATGCGTGCAGATGACAGGAAGGTCTCGTTTCCTGGCAGACTAGGTTGGTGGTTCATTTACAGTAAGACCAGGATTCAGCCTGTTACTGGAATTTCCATGCACTGAATGGCCCATTGACTGGCTATGCAGGAATTACAACTATTTTTGTAAATATTTGTATGCTATCATAAAGGCACTTTTTTATATTTCTCACTTCAAGGCTGTGCTGACAGCTAGGGAGTCTTTTTTAGGCTTTCCTTCAAAGACTCCCATTCCAGCACCTCATCCCACAAAGTTCGTAACACCTACATAAGGTTCCTTAATCTATCCCGAGCAGGACGCTGTCCACTGTATGATTGGATATACATGTGAATTTACTCCTTGGTGCTGAGTTGTGCTCCACAATCTCATTCTTATGCTGAAAGTATATATGCTTCTGAGTAAAGATAACTTTGCAAGCATGACTTGGGTGTAAATATATGTGCAATCTGTAGGAAAAGCTGAAATAACAGCCCAAGGAGGTATGGACTGTATTACTCATTTTATTAAGAGCATTATGGTTTTTTTTTCTCCATGCCAAAGCAGTCAGATTTTTGTCACTGAATACGCTGTTTGTACTGCTGCCAGAGCCCAGTACTCCGTTTCCTCACTCTGTGCCCTGCTGTGCCAGGACCTGTCTGCAGCTTTCATTTGCCTTCCAACTCACGACGGGCTACTAATTGAATGAGTGCATGTTCCCCAGCTTGCTCCCCGAACCCGTGCAGTGACGGCTCATGTTTGCAGCTGGGAATAAAGGGTTAAGTCTGGCAAGGGCTGAGCTCTGGTTAGTCTGAAAGCGAGAAGCCAGTTATGTGACAAGGAAAAGAGGTTCTGGACTGCTTAGATAAAGGACTCTCAGCATGTGGAGTCTGGCCTCCTGGAGGAAAAGTCAGACAAATATATAATCAGTTACTTAAAAAAAAAATACATCATTTAGTCTTTTTAACAATGAACTATTGTTATTTCTTTCTGTGCGAGGGTGGAAGGTTTAATGGATATATGATATCCATTAATGGATATATCATCATGATGGAATAGATTAACACTAGGGTAGAATTAATGGCTTCCCCTTAGGGGAAGGAGAGAGACCTTTATATTTTTTTTGCAGAAGAACACCCATTATTATATAATATGTTCATAAAAGCAGCAGCCGAGATTGATGAAGTGCTTTGGCTGTTGGGACATTATTCTCAATGGCTGCCTTTTATTGGCTCCGTCATTACAGGAAAAAGTGCATCATTTCATTATTCTGTACTCGAGGTTTCCAGGATTTTTCTAACTGAAGTAAAAAGAAAAATAAAAATGACTATGTCAACAATTACCTTGTATCTCAAAGATAATATTTTCCTATTCCTGAATTCAAAATGTGAATTGTGATGATACGCACCAACAAACTCATTTCAAAGCCTTTTACCCTTGTGTCTCGGTGCCTAACGAGCAAAAGACTGTAATGAGAACCAGCAGGGTCTAGGCGACAACGCATGACTCTGCGCCTTGGGTTTCCCCCTCCGACACGCCGTGCCACGACCACTGCTTGAGAGCACATTCGCAGTCGGTCACTGCTTCTGGGTGCCCCCACCCCCAGGTCCCACCATGAGGCATATTGACCCTCAAATCTATTGGGTGCCTGCATCTCCTATGGGCTTCGGTGAGCGCGGAGGTTGCTCGGACACCTCGTCAGCTGACCCAGGGCATTTCAAGGTGATTCCCCCGAGTCGGCAAGAAGGAGAGCCGAGGATCCTCTCCCCTCTCCAGAGGTGCTTGCCTCCCCCTTTCTGCCTGCCAGCTTCCAAGAGCAGCGCATGATTGCTCTGCTTAGCTCCTCAGACTAATACCAAAATCTATTTACTCACTTGAGATACCAGTGACTCAATCCGAAGCTCACTTATCAAAAACTCTCATTATTATGACTAAACTGCAGCAAAAGCAGGCAAGGTAAAGAATGAAACAATCCTCCTTTTCCATCTATTAACCATCTTCATAATTATCTCTCCTCTTCAAATGCCAGAGGAAGAGGGATGAGCTATGCAGTGTGCCATTAGAGTCCTAATTCTGGGCTGTTTTCAGGGTATAGAGGGCGTTACAAAGTCAAGGCTCTCCTCAGAAACTCTCCAGAGGCTTCCTCCCCTCCACTACACCGAGGGAGACCCGGCGAGTTACAAAAGTGGCAGAATGTCCCCAAGAACCTGTCTTGTGGGACGGCCCTGGTCATGAAAGCACGAGAGGATACCGCCAGGTTTGCAGTCATGTCTGTTTTGAGAGGGTTCCAACACAACACACACAGTAAATGGAACAGATTTCTTTTTTTTTACTGATCATACCAAAAAATGCTGTGCCTTGCTGGAAGCTGCATTTAGTTCATGCAATCAATGCAATGCTTTTTTTTTTTTTCCTTCTGAATCAGTACTGAGCCACTGAAGTATCGAGGGTGGATTTTGATAGTGCATACAGTAGTACAATGGATTTGGAGAGTTTTCCTTGGGGTGAGCCAGAAAGCTGAAGACAAACGCACTCATGCTCCATAAAGCCCTCTCCGCATCACTCCTGCCCTGCTCTGCATATTTTATAGAAGTATTTGCTAGGAAGCAATTATCCTGTTTCACTCCAGAAGTATTTTCATTTTATGGCAGATGACATGGACTCTGGGCACAGGCTCCAGGTTGATTTGTTAAGCAGCCTGGGATGCCTCCAAGTAAAGGCTCTTCGTGACTGCTAGAGCAAGTGGCGAGTTCAGATTGAGTTGGAAAAAACTTCTGTATCCTGGACTAGGCTTGGCCGGCACCCTGCTCACAGCACTGGTCAGAGGGCAAGCTGGGACCCTCTTCAAGGATTACTATGTCTTCCACGTTTGTTTATGTTACTAGTTGTGTTTATAATGTTGACATATAATTCATATTTTTATGAATTAATTTCCATATTTATATTAGAAAGTTATTCTCTGACTACACAATACAGTAGTGGGATTTCCTTTTAATGCTATTTTCCCAATTCTATGAGTTACATTGTGAAAGTGGGGAAAATATATGAATTATTTATTAACTTCAAAGTATTTGCTGTACAAGAGTTTATTCTTAATTCTGCATCAGTAAGAGCTAGGATTCCCCTAGCAAATAGCTTTTTGATAACTGAAAGGTTTTCTAGAGTTCTGTGATAAAGTAAAAAACTGTAAAACTCCACTCAAACTGCATCAGGAAAAAGGATTATAGCTGCAGCACCAGGACCAGGGTACTGCTACTCTTTCGTGGTGAAAGCAGCATGAAATGTCTCTGTTGACATTATTACTAAAATGCAGAGAGAAGATAAAGCAGTGATAAACCAAAGAAAAAGGCTAAGGCCCTGCAGCAAAGATGTGTGTATTCATGACTTTTCCATCACTATCAATAATGCATAATGATCATCATGCGGATGACGACACCAATTTTTGAGAAAGACTGAGTCAAGCTTTCTATCACCAAATGTGAAAAAACGTTCAACCTGACATTGGATGTTGAGAAGACAGGACCTGCTAGATAAGCAAAGATCCAGCAGAAAGGGTAATGGAGAAGAAAATCAGCTGATGTTGACATAAATTGACATCTGCTGTACCAGTTTGTAGTGTTTTATGGAGGAAAACCATTCTTATGTTAACATGTACTGAAAGAAACCGTTTTCAGGGCCACAAAAACATCTTGGCTAGAAAAAAACCCAAAATGATGGTTTATCTGTGAGCAATTCTGCAACATGAAGAAACCATGTTCAATATAATGCTCAAGTTTTACAGTTATCTGTGTTCTCCCTTTATGTACCGCACTCTAATTCTGCATGGCAGTAGACAATAGGTACGTTGCTGATTCCCTGTGGCATCTTAGATTCCGTACTGATGCTTTGAATAATTATTTTTGCATGAAGATTGTGGTGGCAAAGGGGAAAACCCGGACTGTAACTTTCAAAAGACTTCTTTTTTGTGTGTTTGAATCCCAATGGCATACGTTCAGTTCTCACACCAGCAATTGCTCTGGTGTAAATGAGAGCAGAACTGGCCCGGTATGTGCATGGCTGGGCATCTTCAGCAAGAGAATTCCGAGCTCACTTCCACTCTGTGTGGACCATCCCTCACTCCACGTTAGCTATAGTTTGATGGTGAAATTTGACTTGGAGTTTGCCTACAAATCTTGTAACTTCATTGAGCTTCATCCGTTAAAACCAGTGGGAGTTAAACATAGACATGTAAGACATATATATGACATGTAAGACGTATATATGTCTTAAATCCATAAGACAAATTCTATCCCCATATGCAGGTGACTATCAAGCTACCGGAAACTCAGCAAACGCTGTCAATAACCTCAGGGTGACCCACCAAGGGCTGCTCAACGTGAATGAAAGAGGCAAAGCAGAGCACAAGCTACCAACGTTCTCACCCCTTGCTACGGCCAAGCGCTGATGGCACAGACCAAACCCGTGCTGGAGGTGAGGAGCCCCGATTCACACCCAGGAGTCCCAGAGCTACAGCTGAGGACGGAGCCTGATCTTCAGAGCCCAGAACTAGGAAGGCCATGAAACCAATCCGGA